CACTCTGGGAAGCTGAGGCAAGAGTATCCCCTGAGCTCAGGAGTTTCATACCAGCCTGAGCAAGAGCAAAAGCAAGACCCTATCTCTACTAAAAATACAAAAAAGTGTGCTAGGCATTATGGTGGGCACCTGTAGTCCCAGCTGCTTGGGAGGCTGAGACAGGAGGACCCTTTGAACCCAAGTTTGAGATTGCTATGAACTAGACTGATGCCATGCATGGTACTCTAGCCTGGGTAACAAAATGAGACTCTGTCTCAATAAAAAAAAAGAAGAAAAGAAATTTGGTATGTATGTGACAAAGGCTTTTCGGTATTGTACTGTCTTTAAGTCTGTGATTTCTATTTTTTTTTTTTTTTTAATAAGAAAGACAGAGTCTTGGCTCGGTGCCTGTGGCTCAAGTGTCTAAGGCACCAGCCACATATACCTGAGCTGGCGGGTTCAAATCCAGCCTAGGCCCGCCAAACAATGATGGCTGCAACCAAAAAATAGCCAGATGTTGTGGTGAGTGCCTGTAGTCCCAGCTCCTTGGGAGGCAGAGGCAGGAGAATCACTTGAGCCTAGGAGTTGGAAATTGCTATGAGCTGTGATGCCACATCACTCTACCCAGGGCAACAGCTTGAGGCTCTGTCTCAAAAAAAAAAAAAAAAAAAAAAAACAGTCTTTTTTTTTTTTTTTTTTGACCTCCAACTCTTGGGCTCAAGCGAGTATCCTGCTTCCGCCTCCAAGTAGCTGGGACTACAGGCTCCCGCCACAAAGCCCAGCTATTTTTTGGTTGCAGCCATCATTGTTGTTTGATGGGCCCGGGCTGGATTACGAACCCACCAGCTCAGGTGTATGTGGCTGGTGCCTTAGCCACTTGAGCCATGGGCACCGAGCCGCTGTTTGGGCCTTTAAGAAAGATATATACCACATACTGTGCTCTCTGATGTTTCTTGCTTTTTTTTTCCTATTATAAATCCTGGTGCAATGAATATCATTACAGGTACAGATTTTTACATCCTTTTCTCCTACTTTTCTTTTTTTCCTCACTCTGTTGCCCCAGGTAGAGTGCTATAGTGTCACTGTAGCTCACAACAACCTCAAACTTTTGGGCTCAAGGGACCCTCTTGCCTCAGCCTCCCAAGTTGCTGGGACTACAGGCACCCTGCATGATGCCCAGCTAATTTTTCTGTTTTTAGTAGAGACAGGGTCTTGCTCTTGCTCCGGATGGTCCTGAACTCCTGAGCTCAGGCAGTCCACCCGCTGCAGCCTCCCAGAGTGCTAGGATTAGAGGCGTGAGCCACCTTGCCCGGCCCTATTTGTTTTTATTATTATTATTATTATTTTAAATATACTTTGCCCTCCCGCAAACTCATGTTGAAACATGAGGTATTTATTCAGTGTGTTTATTTGGAGCCTGAAATAAACCTCACATTGGGAGTTTGGGTGGAGTACAGGATGTGAAAGCAAGGAAAAGTCATAGAGAGCTCAGATATAGCCAGGACCTATGTAGTGTGCAGAAAGAGATCTCCAAACCTGTGAAAACAAGTGTGTTTTTTCATGGCCCTTATAGTCAGAGGGCAGTAGGCCATAAATTTCTCAAGGAACCAGGTTGAGAAAGGCTGGTAGAACCTTCTTTTCTGACAGCTCAACACACTGGCCAGTTCTAGGATGATAAGAATCTCACAACAGTATCATTGTGTGGTGAGTCTGGCATAGAGTAGACACTTAGTAAATGTCAGCTCGCTTCCCCAGCTCCCTTCCCTGCCTTTCTTGCCAGGCCTCAGCTTCTCTTAAAGCCACCTACATCTCTCAGAAGGAGCACAAGTTTCCTCAGATGGGAGATACCCACGTGACGTGTCTCAGAGTATTTTAGGTTCCTCTTTCCAGGCAAGGTGGATGCTGCTGTGACGTAGGTGCCCCTTTCTCTTTGCTTACATCGGGATAGTGCTTCCTGGAGGAAGTGGAGGCCCGACAGATGCAGCTGGCTGCAAAGAGTTTCCAGCATACTAACAGGGACAGGATCTGCTAATGATGAGCCTGGTGAAGGGTCCAAGGGCCAGGTCTTTAAGACTTTAGGAGAAGGAGGAAGGATCAGAATGGACAGAGTCGTCATCCCTACCATCCCCATTGCAGCCCCAGAATGCCCTCCTGTCTGCCATTGGTAAAGGAAATGGCATCTCTCCATGGGTCTTGAGGTTGCCTATTAAACGTGTATGCTATGGCTGGGTATATTTATGCCAGCACCTGAAACTGCTACCAGAGCTGCCCAGCTGTCCCTCCATTCCTCTGTCCTTGTGACTCAGACTCGAGTAACCAGTTCTGTGGATGGTGGATCTGATTTCACTGACTTCAGCTCACTCACTCAGCTGTGGCTAGGTGTCTTCTGAGACTGAAAGGGGAACAGATACTAAGCCCAAAATCTTCCTTACAGGAAGCCACAAGAAAACCACTTGGGAGAAAACCACTGGTGGTTCAGTCGTGAAATGACCTCAGGGCCAGTTCCTCTGGCATCAGGTGGCCTCCTGAACCTCACCTTGTCACTTTGTCTAAGCTGCAGGAGCCACCAGAGCACAGGTGGTGTCCAGCAGAGAGAGAGGAGGGTGGGAGATGGGGTTGCATAGGATGAGGCCTATCCAGAGACACAGAGCAAGTTCTGGTTATGTGCCTAGCTGCAGGCTAGGCCCCAGGGATGGTTTGATACAGGAACTGGTGGCCCAGGTAGGAAGATAAGAGTCAGTATCTGGGGCAGCGCCTGTGGCTCAGTGAGTAGGGCACCGGCCCCATTACCAAGGGTGGCGGGTTCAAACCCAACCCTGGGCAAACTGCAACAACAACAAAAAATAGCCAGGCATTGTGGCGGGCGCCTGTAGTCTCAGCTACTTGGGAGGCTGAGGCAAGAGAATTGCTTAAGCCCAGGAGTTAGAGGTTGCTGTGAGCTGTGTGACACCACAGCACTCTACCAAGGGCGATAAAGTGAGACTCTGTCTCCAAAAAAAAAAAAAAAAAAAAAAAAAAAGTCAGTATCTGTGATAAGGCCTGTGATAAAACACATTCGTACAATCTGCAGAAAAAGGACATTTAGTGCTGACCTCCAGCTCTATAGATATTAAGAATAAGGATTGAGGTCCTATTTAGAGTTGTAGGACAAGTTCATTCACCATGGTCAGTTTCTACATCTGTAAGTTTAGGCAGTCACTCTGAGGGTTTGTGTAAGGTTAGCATTGTATTTAAGAATTAATTGGGTTAGGCTTGGCGCTTGTAGCTCAGCGAGTAGGGTGCCAGCCACATACACCAAGGCTGGCGGGTTTGAGCCTGGCCTGGGCCTGCGAAACCACAAAGACAACTGCAACCAAAAAATAGCTGGCTATTGTGGCATGTGCCTGTAGTCCCAGCTACTTGGGAGGCTGAGGCAAGAGACTCTCTTAAGCTCAAGAGTCTGAGGTTGCTATGAGCTGTGATGCCACGGCATTCTACCGAGGACAACATAGTGAGACTCTGTCTCAAAACTTAAAAAAAAAAAAGAATTAATTGGGTTGGTGGAGGTGCGAGGCTAAGCCTGAAGGATTGAAGCTTCTGGTTTAGTGATGGCAGGGTGGGGTGCAGGCCATCAGGCAGGGGGCAGTCTAGCCACCCTCACAGCTATTTGTTTCAGAGCTTGGGCATAGCTGTGAAACTGGACCTGAGCCCTGCACATTTCCAGGATGGGGCAGTGGCACACTTGAGCAAAGAGGATGGCAGGAGCCCCATGCAGAGATTAGATAGGAAAGGGAGGATTGAAAACTCATGACCAGGCTGTGTTCTGAGAACATTCTTGCATTTTCAGAAAAGAATAAAAAAAAATTCAAAAGCATTTTCTTGGCTTTTCATCTGAGCCCTTCATATCTCTGGTCCTAGCAAATGTGCCTGATTTAATAAAGTCAGTACTAGCAGCCAGCAGCATTTTTTTTGTTGTTGTTGTTTTTGTTTTTTTGGAGACGGAGTCTTACTTTGTTGCCCACCGTAGAGTGCTGTAGCATCATAGCTCACAGCAACCTCAAACTCTTGGGTTCAAGCAATTCTCTTGCCTCAGCCTCTGGAGTAGCTGGGACTACAGGCATCCACCACACAGCTCTGCTATTTTTAGAGAGAAGGTCTCACTCTGGCTCAGGCTGATCTTAAACTCATGAGCTCAGGCAGTCCACCCGCGCTGGCCTCCCAAGTGCTAGGATTACAGACATGAGCCACTGCACCGGGCCCCAGCAGCATGTTTTTGGTCTAGAACTTTAGACTGTCTTTTTAAAAATAAGAGGAAGAACAGGGCATGATGGCTCACACCAGTAATTCTAGTACTTTGGGAGGTTAAAGTGGGAGGATCACTTGAGACCAGAAATTTGAGACCAGCCTAAGCATGAGCAAGACCCTGTCTCTACAAAAAAAGAAAAATTAGCCAGGAATAGTGATGTATGCCTATAGTCTCAGCTATTCTGGAGGCTTAGGCAGGAGGATCACTTGAGCCCAGGAGTTTTGAAGTTGCAGTGAGCTATGATGATGCTGCTGCACTCCACTCAGGGTGACAGAGCAAGACCCTTTCCCAAAAGTAAGTAAATAATAAATGAGGAATAAATGCTTTCTGTAGAATAATAAAACAGTATAAAGAGGTTAGAAACTGAAGAGCAAGTTTCTACCCTCACCACTCCATTCATCTTCCTCTTCCTCCCCACCCTCCAAAACACACTCCCCAGAGGCAAATATTATGAACCATTTTGAATCTGTATGGGTTCCATATGTAGAACCTGTGTGGTGTCTACACTTAGGCCTCAGGGTATAAAACTTGCTCTGGGTCTCTTCTGGAAAGTCAATGGGTCTGAGCTTTTTCCAGAAAGGGAGAAGAGATTCCACCTGTGTGGAGGGGCGTGGGCAGGCACAGAGGGCTGCCGGAGAAGCTTCTCAGGACACTGGGGGGAGGAGGGGACGCAGTCTCTTTCAGCCAGGGCTCTCTTCTCTTCCCAGCATCTAATGGCTCTTTTTCACCTTCTCAGGATCCCTCTGTGACCCAGCTGACCAATGCTCCGCAGAGTGGCCTGGCTGAATTCAACCCCTTCTCAGAGGTTGGTGAACATGCCCTATTTCTGAGTCCTGTGATCCTCTGGAGTGGTGCTGGGATCTCTGGGGCAAGGAGCCTTGGCAGATACAAAAGCAACTCTGAGAAGCCGAAATCCTCAGAGGGGCAATCCTAACATGAACTCAGGGAGTGGGGCAGAGGCTGTCTGAAATTCTTCTTTTTGGATCCATAATCTCAGCCCATTCTTGAGGAGTCCAGGGCAGTGCCAGAGAGCTCTGGATCCAGTGAGGCCAGGGTTTCTGGGTCTAATCACTGTGAACCTGAGGCTTGTTGGCTGAGAAGCTGCAGAAGAAGGCCCAGTGTAGGCCCCGGGGAGTGTCCCTCACTTGCTATGGGTGGGCAGCTCCTATGCTTTTACAGATGCCAGTGCCTTGCTGTGGGTTTGCCCCCTGGTTGCCAACTAGTGGGGTCCCAATCCCTTCCTTCTTTTGATCTGTCCCACATAGACAAATGCAGCGACAACAGTTCCAGTTCCCGTCACACAACTCCCTGGGCCTTCACAGCCAGCAGTTCTCCAGCCCTCAGTGGAACCAACTCAGCCAACCCCCCAGGTACTGCCAGCAGGGGACCCTTTGACCTTTCCTCCCCAGTGAGGGAGTCCCCAGACCAGCAGCTGAGCCCTGAGGCTGGTGGGTGGGAAGAGAGCCTTAATCCCTGGCTCCCCTTCAAGGGCCCTCTTGCTAATTTCTTTGGAGTTAGTCACTTGCAAGTTGAGAGGTTGATCTATGTCCTCACCCCACTCCCATCACCAAAATTTAAGCTCTTCCAAGCTGGGGCCTTGGGGTCTCCAGAGAGAGCAGCACTTGTTCTTGCTCTGCCCCTCCAGATCCTTGTGGGGTCTTTGGCTTGTTCTCTCTTCCTCGGGGCCCAGAATCTTTCTTTGTTTTTTAACCTCATTAATTCCTGCCTTCCTTCCTATTTCCCTTTGTCCCTATATCAAATATGGTGAGTCTTGCCTGTTTTGTGCCTGATACTCTACTCGGCTGCCTCACCGCCCTGGCCCCACGCTCCATACTGCCTACATGAGCATGACCCTCAGTGGAGTTGTGTGTTGCAGCTCCTGCTTAGACAGGCCAGCAAGTTCCTGCCTACTCGATTCCTGGCAGTGAGTGAGCTCTCAGAGAGGCAGATGCTACTAGGAGGAGATAGTATTCTCAGAGACAGCTACATGCGAAAGCTTCCGCAGGTAGGCCAAGTGTAGATGAGCAGGGGGAGGGCAGGCGCCTGGAGCCTGCCTGCAGGGCCCCAAACCCTCCTGGGCCCCAGAGCCTATAGAGGTGAAACACGCCTTATGCGTGGTGCTGCCCTGACACTCAGCTGGGTGGTGGGCTTTACTGGGACCTGGGTCCTGTTCAGCTGAACTCACAGACTTTGGGGAGAGGAAACTGAGACCTCTAGTGTGGTCACTTCTGGTTCTGCTTTCAGTGCCTGGAACTCACCTCCTGAAGGCAACTGTAGCTCTTTGGAAAGCTTCTTCTGGAGATCTTTGTGTGGGTCCATGTATGTGTGTGTGTGTGTGTGTGTATACATACACCTGGTTTGTCATCCTATGTGATGACCGGTTTGACATTTACTTTCTAAAACAGACTGTAGTCTTTTTTTTTTTTTTTTTTTTTGAGACAGAGCCTCAAGCTGCCCCCCTGGGTAGAGTGCCGTGGCATTATAGCTCACAGCAACCTCCAACTCCTGGGCTCAAGCGAGTCTCCTGCCTCCGCCTCCCAAGTAGCTGGGACCACAGGCGCCCGCCACAGCGCCCGGCTATTTTTTTTTGGTTGCAGCCGTCATTGTTGTTTGGCGGGTCCGGGCTGGGGATTCGAACCCGCCACCTTAGGTGTACGTGGCTGGCGCCTTAGCCGGTTGAGCTATAGGCGCCGAGCCAACAGACTGTAGTCTTATTCTCTAGGAGAAACTTGGGCCAAATAGTGTCAGCAGCCAGTTCAGCCCAGGGCTGCTCAATCCTACTTACAGTTCCTCATTGTCCTACTCAGGGACCTTGCTCTGCCTGAAGAGGAGATAAGCGTGGACTACACGCCACAAAAGCCAGTCAGTGCAGGGCCATGCCTAAAGGGCTGTCCTGAGATATAGCCAGTCTTAGTTCAGGGGGACTCTGGGAGGCAACTCCTGTGCTTTTACAGATGCCAGGGCTCAGGAACAGTCTGCCCTCACGTGTCTCCCCTCCACTCACTGCTAGCAGGTGTGCACCATTCCCCCTTCACACATATGCATCTGGGCTCTTCACATGAAGCTCAGGTCTCTGGGTAGGTCTGATTATAGGTTAGTCTCTTGTGAGGCCTTTACCCCGTCAAAGCTCACTATCATTGAACTTTGCTTGGACTGTGGTTCTGGGGAGAGCAGGGGGAGTCCTGGGGGATGGTTCTCCTATTTTAAGCTTAGGGACCCGGGGAGAGAAGAGCCTGATAATGCTGGTAATGGCCAAGAGGCCCTAGTGGTGTGGGGGCAGTGGGACACAGTTCTCACTCTCTATGGTGGTCTCTGGAATCTAAGACACTCTGTGGGTTGGGACTACATTTGGGATGCCCTGCTACGTTCTCCTGTATAGGGCAAGGCCCTTCTTCCTGCCTGCTCAGGCTGATACTTTCTTGTGTCCGGCTGTCCCCGCCCCCGCCTCCCTCTTCTCTCTAGGCTGTGGCATCTGCAGCCCAGGCAGGCCTGCTTCGGCAGCAGGAAGAACTGGATAGGAAAGCTGCCGAGCTTGAACGTAAGGAGCGGGAGCTGCAGAACTCAGCGGCCAACTTGCATGGTAAGGGAAGCTGCTAGGACCTGGGGCTGCCCTGCCTGGGGCAGGGGAATGTCCTGAGCCCTGTATGGTGGGCCCTCTCAGCACTCACCCTGTGCCATCTTCTTCCTGGGCAGCTTGGAGCTTTGTGGCACTTTCAGTGTGGTCCTGGGGAGAGCAGTAAGTTGAGAGAAGACCTTCAGGATCATCCTAATGGGTGTAGATTATTTCAGCACGCCTTTCCAGCTCTAAGATTCTTCCATAGCATAGCATTATGACTCCTTGTTCATGATGATGACCTAAGTTGTCATACCTACAGGCTAGTTGTTAAAAACAATCACTCAGATTATTTAACTGTCTGTATTTCCAGTGCATTTGGGTCTATTATCTTAGAGTGAGCTTGTGGGCGTCTCTTTGGGTCCCATTATCCTTTTCCATTCCACTCCTTAATTCATGCAGATCCCAGTCCCAGCTTGCCAAAGCCCCTCTGTAAGCCTTGGTTTGGCCTGTAAATTGCTGGTGTGGTGCTCACTCTTCAGAGCCACTGCTTCTTTTTTCTTTTTTTTTTTTTTGCCAAAGAGTCTCAAGCTATTGCCCTGGGTAGAGTGCCGTGGCATCACAGCTCAAAGCAACCTCCAACTCTTGGGCTCAAGCATCCTCTTGCCTCAGTTTTTCTATTTTTAGTAGAGATAGGGTCTTGCTCTTGTTCAGGCTGGTCTCGAACTCCTGGGCTCAACAATCCACCTGCCTTGGCCTCCCAGAGTGCCAGTATTACAGGCGTGAGCCACCTCACCCAGCCTTTTTTTTCTTTTTAGAGACAGGATCTCATTATGTTGCCAAAGCTAGAGTGGGGCAGTCATAGTTCTCTGTAATCTCAAACTCCTAGGCTCTGGTGATCCTCCTGCCTCAGCTTTCTTATTTTTTATAGTCAAGGTCGCACTATTTTGTATATGTTGGTCTTGAGCTCCCATCCTCAAAACAATGCTCCTGCCTTGGCCTCCCAGAGTGCTAAGATTATAGGCATGAGCCATGGCACCTCAATGTTGCTTCTGAGGCTGGGTCATCACCTCATTGCTCTTTCCTCTTTCCACACAGTGAGAGAGAACAACTGGCCACCCCTTCCCTCATGGTGCCCTGTCAAGCCCTGCTTCTACCAAGATTTCTCCACAGAGATCCCCGCTGACTACCAGCGGATATGCAAGATGCTCTACTATCTCTGGATGTGTGAGTCCTACTCCTGCCCTCTGTGCTCAAGGGTAAGGAGGGTGTGACTTGAGCTCCCCATCTTTGCTCTGGCTGCTCCTCAGTAATGTGCAGCTCTCTGCTGATGCCGTCCTGCCTCAGGGGCAGGCTGGTATGAGGAGGTGCCTTCTGCCCACCAAACACTCCCTGTCCAGGAACCTCATTGAAAGGGTCAGTCTTACCCACAGATCAGGCAGTATGGAACTAGCCAGAGACTCCCAGGTTTGAGCTCACGGCACTAAAAAGCCCTTCTCAAGTGACGGCTGCCCCTCTTAACAGGCCCCTTGGCTTCAGGGGATGAGGAAAAATTCTCCCTATACCTCTGAGGATCATCAAAGGCCAGGGAAAGACTTGCTAAGAGAAAAACTTCATTCCCCAGTGATCTTCCCCCTCCCCTAAACCTGAGCTATCACATCACCTCTCAGGAACTTAGTTTGGGTCCCAGAAAACCAGGATTTGGGAACTATCCCTGCCTAGGTACAGGCCAAGGTCCTCCACTTCTGCAGCTTCCCTCACAGCACAGATCTCATCTCTCCTAGGGAGTGGCTTGCCATGTGGGGAGCCCTTCAACCACCTTGGCACAGCCATTTCTCTCTCCTCCCCTCCCCAGTGCATTCAGTGACTCTGTTTCTGAACCTGCTTGCCTGCATGGCCTGGTTCTCAGGCAGCCCCTCCAATGGAGTGGACTTTGGCCTTTCGATCCTGTGGTTTGTGATCTTCACCCCCTGTGCCTTCCTTTGTTGGTACCGACCCATCTATAAGGCGTTTCGGTGAGTGGGGCTGGGGGCAAAGGGGTGAGTATTCGGCTGGCATCCCAGGTAGCAAGCTAAGGGGCCATGGGCCCTCAGGCCCCAGCCTAGTCTTAGAATAGAATAGAATGTTGGGGAACTCTGCTTTCCCATTCTCCCCATAGCCAGAACAGATGGGATAAGGACCCTTACTTGCCATCTCCTTGCCCACTGTACCACTGGCTGGTGCAGTGGTATTTCTGTCACTGGGAAGAGGGAGGGACCCTCTTTAGAGAGCTTTGAGGTGTGCTTCTCAGAGTGTCAGGCAGGTGCGCTCAGTGGCTTATCTCTCCTTGTTTACTTATGCTCCTTGAAAACTCAAGCACCCACCGATGCTTAGACTAGATATTATGGAGACACCTTACAGACCCTGGGATTTTGTAGTTGTACCTCAGATTGATGCTTTCAGGGCTGGGAGGGGAAGGGGCTGGGGCAGCAACAACCAAACCATCCCGAGATCCTGAATGCAGATAAACACTCCAGGAGGGGAAGTGGTCCATCTTTATGTTGTCTTTTGGGGAAGCAACTTTATCAGCTCTTTGAGGAAGGGTTCAAGCACTGACCTTTTAAATTGGAGGGCAGGGTGGCGCCTGTGGCTCAGTGAGTAGGGCGGCCCCAAGGGTGGCAGGTTTAAACCTGGCCCGGGCCAAACTGCAATAAAAAAATAGCCAGGCGTTGTGGCAGGTGCCTATAGTCTCAGATACTCGGGAGGCTAAGGCAAGAGAATCACCTAAGCCAAAGAGCTGGAGGTTGCTGTGAGCTGTGACGCCACGGCACTCTACTAACGATGGCAAAATGAGACTCTGTCTCTTTTAAAAAAAAAAAATTTTAAATTGGAGGGCAGTGAAGCGCCAGGCCTTCCTGATTATGGTGATCGATGTCCGTGTGTATGTGTCCTCATGGACATTTTGTCTGTCCCATAGAGTTCTGTCCCTTGCCCATCATGTCTCCTGGCTCTTGGTGAGGAGAAATGTCACCAGATTAGGAATGCTGAGGAGCATGACCCAAGCCCTCTTGTGACTTCTTTTTCCTTTTTTCTCCACAGATCTGACAACTCTTTCAGCTTCTTCGTGTTCTTCTTTGTATTTTTTTGTCAAATAGGAATCTACGTCATCCAGTTGGTTGGCATCCCTGGCCTGGGAGACAGGTGAGATCTAGGGCATCACAGTGGGAATTGGGCTTTGGATGTGGGGCTCAGCCTCTCTTGCCCTGTTTCCTAGCTACCCAGAGAGTCTCACAGGACCTTGCTTCTCCTGTGGCAGGAGAGAAGTGATGAGCCGCCTTTGGGTCCTCTCTCTAGTCCTTCACCAACCAGTAGCCACTCATCATCTTTCCTTGCTCTCCACTTTTTAGGGTGTTGTGGGTGAACTTGGCTTGAATCTTTAGGCTACCAGGGCTGTGTCTTGTACTAGATTGCAGCCTTTCTTTTCTCCTGCTGTACTGTACTAGAGGCTGATCCTAAGCTGTGACTTTCTCCAGTGGCCTTATAACTTTAGGAGACAGGACCCTAGCCTCCCTCTGCCCTCTTTGAGCATATGACTGGACTGAGTTTGCTTGGCACTTCAATCCTCAGCTCAAAATTCATCTCAAGAGAAAAGCTGATTGAGTGGGTGCAGTGGCTCACGCCTATAATCCTAGAACCCTGGGAGGCTGAGGCGGGAGTATTATTTGAGCTCAGAAGTTCAAGACCAGCTGAGTAAGAGCAAGATCCTCATCTATGCCAAAAATAGAAAAATTAGCTGGGTATCATGTTACCTGTAGTCCCAGCTACTCAGGAAACAGAGGCAGAAGGAACACTTGAACCCAGGAGTTTGAGGTTGCTGTGAGCTATAACGATGCTACTGTATTCTAGCCACAGTGACAGAGTGAGACTCTGTTTAAAAAATAAAAGAAAAGCTGATGGCTGATGTTTTCCTTTCTGCCTCAGTACACAGGGAGCATTGCAGAAAGGTCACGCTGGCACTTGGCAGAGTGCCTGAGCCTGGAAGGGTGGCACTGTTTTGGTCCCCTTCTTTGGACAGAGCTGCAAGTCCAGAGGGAGAGGAGAGCTGCCTCTCCTCACCCTCTAAGCAAGCACACACTGCCCTCTTAAACCTACACCCCCTTCCTTCTGGCCCTGCTGTCTAATCTGGCCCCTTTTGACCAATGACCCAATTTCACTGTTGCCCTAAGTGAGTTCCTGGTAGAAAAGCTGTGACATGTAACTGCTCTTTGCGCCTGCTCTAGGAATCAGAAGGCTTGAATTCTGGCACTGGCTCTGCCCTCACTGCCCTGCCTGGGTTTACCTCAGTTACCTCTGTACCTCCCAATCCCCCTCCAAAACTCTCTCTGGCCATTTTCTCATGGTGCCTCACAACACCCATGAGTGGGTGGATATAATCCTCTACTTTTTTTTTTTTTTTTTTTAGAGACATAGCCTGACTTTGTCGTCCATGGTAGAGTGCTATGGCATCACAGCTCACAGCAACCTCCAACTCCTGGGCTTAGGCAGTTCTCTTGCCTCAGCCTCCCAAGTAGCTGGAACTACAGGCACCCACCACAATGACAGGCTATTTTTTGTTGCAGTTTGACTGGGGCTGGGTTTGAACCTGCCACCCTTGGTATATGGGGCCAGTGCCCTTCCCACTGAGCCATGGGTGCTGCCATAATCATATATGTGTGTGTGTGTATGTATATGTATATATATATATATATTAGAAACAGAGTCTCACTTTGTTGCCCTTGGTTGAATGACTATTTTTTTTTTTTTTTTTTGAGACAGAGCCTCAAGCTGTCCCCCTGGGTAGAGTGCCGTGGCATTACAGCTCACAGCAACCTCCAACTCCTGGGCTCAAGCGAGTCTCCTGCCTCCGCCTCCCAAGTAGCTAGGACCACAGGCGCCTGCCACAACGCCTGGCTATTTTTTGGTTGCAGCCGTCATTGTTGTTTGGCGGGTCCGGGCTGGGGATTCGAACCCGCCACCTTAGGTGTACGTGGCTGGCGCCTTAGCCGGTTGAGCTATAGGCGCCGAGCCTGAATGACTATTTTTAATTGTAAAATATACATAACATTGGCTTGGCACCCATAGCTCAGTGGTTAGGGTGCCAGCCACGTACACTGGAGCTGGCAGGTTTGAACCCAGCCTGGGCCTGCTACACAACAACTGCAAGTATGACAATAGCCAGATGTTGCGGCAGGCACCTGTAGTCCCAGCTATTTGGGAGGCTGAGGCAAGAGAATCACTTAAGCCTAGGAGTTTGAGGTTGCTGTGAGCTGTGATGCCATGGCATTCTATTGAGGGGGACATAGTGAAACTGTTTCAAAAAAAAAAAATACACATAACATAAAATTTATCATTTTATTTACCACTGACTCCATTTGAAACTATACAACTCTGTGGCATTTAGTACATTTACAGTGTTGTACAGTCATTACTACCATTTAGTTTTTGAACATTTTTATCACTCCAAAAAAGAAACGCCATACCAGGGCGGCACCTGTGGCTCAAAGGAGTGGGGCGCCGGCCTCCTATACTGGAGGTGGCGGGTTCAAACCCAGCCCCAGCCAAAAACTGCAAAAAAAAAAAAAAAAAAGAAAAGAAAAGAAACGCCATACCCAGTAAACAGGCACTCCTCATTCCTTCCTTCTCTAGGCTCTGGCAACTACTTAACTACTTTCTTGCTCTATGGGTTTACCTATTCTGGAAATTTCATATAAATGGAATCATGTACTACATGGCCTTTTCTTTTGTGTCTAGCTTCCTTTACTTAGCATAATGTTTTTTTCTTTTGGAGACATCGTCTCACTTTGTTGCCCTTGGGTTGAATTCCATGGTATCATAGCTCATGGCAACCTCAAACTCCTGGGCTCAAATGATCCTCTTGCCTTATCCTCCCACGTAGCTGGGACTACTGGTGTATGCTACTACACCCAGCTAGTTTTTCTATTTTAGTAGAAATAAGGTCTCAATCTTGCTCAGGCTAGCTTCGAACTCTTGAGCTCAAGCAATCCACCCACCTCAGCCTCTCAGAGTGCTAGTATTACAGGCCTCTCAGAGTGCTAGTGAGCCACAATGCCTGGCCTATTTCTTTTCTTTTTATGTCTGAATAGTATTCTATTGTATGGGTATCCTGTTTTTCCGGGGTGGGGGGGTGTTTGTGTTGTTTTTTGAGACAGAGTCTTGGTGGAGTACTGTGGCATCATAGCTCACAGCAATGTCAAACTTTTGGGCTCAAGTGATTCTCTTGCCTCAGCCTCCCAGGTAGCTGGGACTACAGGTGCCTGCTGCAACGCCTGGCTATTTTTGCTCTGGCTCAAGCTGGTCTCAAACCTGTGAGCCCAGGCCATCCACCCGCCTCGGCCTCCCAGAGTGCTAGAATTACAGGCATGAGCCACTACACCCAGCCATCTGTTTGTTTGTTTGTTTGGTTTTTTTTTTTGAGACAGAGCCTCAAGCTGTCCCCCTGGGTAGAGTGCCGTGGCATTACAGCTCACAGCAACCTCCAACTCCTGGGCTCA